GTGGTGAACACATTCGGGGGGCTGACGCACGGACCGCCAATCCTAGGATTCTGACAAGGGCGTCTGCGCGTTCAAATGTTCACCGGATATTTCGTGCCAAGCGGAGAGGGGGATGAGAAAAATATTCCTCGCCAAGGGAGGGGTGGTGCACAAAGTGGAAGTGGCGGGGAGAACTTCGAGAGCAGACGTTCCAAAGCAACCCCGACGGAGAGACACGTCGAGACGCCCCTGCACATCGGGAGCCCTTCGGTCTGCGTGAGTAACAAAAAAAAAAAAGAAAAGAAAATTCACGTCAAAAAAAAATTTATTTTTAATATTCTTTCTTTTCTGCATTTACATTATTTAACCCCTTCCACCCTCTTTCTGTTCTTGTTCATCATCTATGTGTTAGTTTCGATCAATTTTTTTCCTGTAATTTTGTTTTCTTAATTTTGTAATTTTTTCCTTTTTTTGTTTTTTCCCTATTTTTAATTAAGTGCGTTATTTTTTAAAAAACTTTCAACAATTGCTTGTGTCTCTTTGAAAAATTTCTGTTTGTTGTGCTTCTAAATTTTCCGGTTTTCTTTCCGCGGTTCAGTTGGTTGATCCAATTTTTTTTAATTTGCTCCAATTAGTATTTTTGAAAAGAAATTAATATCCATTCAAAAGTGCTTCAATATTGTGAATAATTTTTTAATTTTACTCTTTGATTTTAAATTAACTTCAATTTTTGTTGTGTTATTATTTTATCCTCCTTTTGAAATTCGTAATTATTATCGAATTTTTTCCTATTTATTTTCTATTAAAAAACGTGAATATATTTCTTGTTCTGAAAAATAATAATATATTGTTTTTTAGTTTTTCTGAAATATCTTTTTAAGGGTGTTTAAATTTTTCTATTTTTATTATTATTTATTTATAATAAACGGGACAAACCCATTATTATTATTTATTATATAAGATTTTCATTTTATTAAAAATTATTGTTTATTTATTATAAATATCCTTCGCAATTTACAATTATTTATTATTCATTATCATTCATTTGTTTATTTTATTGTATATTTAAGAATGAAATAGTGATGTAAATATTTGAAATTTATTCACTAATCTTTTTTAATATTTATTGTTTGCTTTACAATTTATTATTTATTTTATTATTTATTACTTGTTTAACTATTTATTGTAATTAAATTTAATTCCAATTGAAATAAATAATAAAATTTAGTTTACAATTTATTATAAATAAATTAAATCTTAACTAAATAGTAAATTTTGTTTTACAATTTGTTATAAATAAATTAAATTTTAATAAATAATAAAATTTGTTTTACAATTATTATTTGTTCTACTAATGCTTTACTATTTTTGTAAATAAATTAAATTGCAGGAAATAGTAAAATTTGTTTTATAATGTATTATAAATAAATTATATTAAATTGAAATAAACAATAAAATTTGTTTTAAACTTTATTATTTAATTAACTATTTACTACATGCTTTACTATTTTTGTAAATAAATTAAATTGAAACAAATAATAAAATTTGTTTAAAAATTTATTATAAATAAATTAAATTGAATTGAAATAAACACTAAAATTTGTTTTACAATTTGTTATAAATAAATTAAATTAAAATAAATAATAAAATTTGTCTTACAATTTATTATTTGTTTTACTATTTACCACATATTTTACTATTTTTGTAAATAAATGAAACGAAATGAAATTAAATAAAAACAAACATAATTATTTTTACAATTTGTTTCGCTGTTTACTTATTGTTATACTATTTACTTTTTTTTAATATTTTAATATTTTATTATTTATTTCAGTTATTATTATTATTATCAATTTCAATCGCTTAATTATTTTTTCCTACAACACAGAAAAAAGATGGAAAATTTTTACTTATTTTTATTCAATCATTCGGCAATAATCACTTGGTTCAAAATGATTATTTTATTTTCTATTGAGAAACAATCCATTTCACGATTTTATTTTATGCACTTTGTGGTTGTTTTTTTTTTTGCACAAAAAATAAAAGAAATTTCAATTCGGCCTGGTTGACAATAAAATATCATTTTGTTGATACTTTATATCATATACATTTGATGGCCTATAATTATATTTGATAATTTTCTTTACTCAAGGCACGGTAGTTTATGTAATCCTACCGTATAAAAGAAAAGTATTTTTATTTCATATTCAACGAAACAATAATATAACTATCAACAAAACCAATTTATTATTAAGAAATTCGTGCGAATAAGTGAAAAAAAAATAATAAACAATAAAATAGTTCCACTACATTTTCTAAATTTATAAATATACGATTTATTCACATAGCTTCTTAACATTTAATTTTTATTAATTATTAATTAAGTTAGTAATAATTTTTCCAAAAAAAATTTGCAAACAAGTTTCTGTATAAATTTTTCAAACAAATTTTTGAATAAATTTTGTAAATACATTTTGTAAATAAATTTTGTAAACAAATTTCTGAATAAGTTCTAAAAAAATTTGAAAACTTTCTGAATTAATTTCTAAATAAATTTGTAAGCAAATTTCTAATTAAATTTTTAAAGCAATAAATTAATTAGTTAATTAAATAATTAATTTGAAATCCAAGCACTAAAAAATACAAAATATGTTGTAAATAGTATTAAAACAATTATTTGGCTAATGATATTTACAATGCATGTAAAATAATTTTTTTTTAAATTCTCGAAAGTAAAAAATAATTAATATAAATAATTCAATAATTTAAACGACGCAAAAATTAAATGGGCGGAAAAACAGTAATGAAGCAATAATTAAGTAATAATAAACTACAATTAATAAATAATAAATAAATAATAAAAATCTACAATTAATAAATAATAAATATCTACAATAAATAAATAATAAAAAACTACAATAAATAAATAAAAAAAACTACAGTAAATAAATAACGAAAACGACAATAAAGCAATAAATAAACAATAAAAACGACAGTAAAGCAATAAATAAATAATAAAAACGACAATAAAGCAATAAATAAATAATAGAAACTACAATAAAGCAATAAATAATAAAAATCCACAATGAAGCAATAAATAAACAATAAAAATCTACAATAAAGCAAAAAAAAAAAACTTAGTTTTTTTTGCCGACGGACATTAAAAAAAGTTTACCAAAAAAATTCTAATTTGCAAATATTTCCAAACATTGAGATATTTTTCGATAAAAAATATTTTCTACACAAAAAAAATAATAGTAATTTCTTTTTTTAAAAACTCTTTATAATCATCAATTTTTATAAACAAGGAAATTTTTTTTTTTTTTGATGAATAAAAAAGTCTTTGATTTTGTCAAAGATTTTTTCATCAAAATTTTATACAATTTTTTCGAAAAATTATCTATTTTAAAAAAAAAATCTTGATGGAAAATTTGAAAAAAAAATCTTTTTAAATCTTCTTAAGAGAAATCCCTCCCTCCTTCGAAGTGTTTTTAAAACAAAAAGAAAAATTAATAAACTTTCGCAAAAGTGAAAATTTTCAATTTGACAAATCCGCTATCGAATAAGGGATAAGGATCAAGTTTCCCGCGAGTGCATGTGCCTGGAAAGCAAAGAAGCGGTAGATAAACTATAAGTATACACTCTGTTTATATACACCACGAATAGCTTTATTAGTATCTAAAGTAGAACGACCTTGAGAAATTGTATACATCAATGTCTCATATACATTTTTCTCCAAATGTAGTCGAAAGATTCTTCAACTTGTTTCTTTTTTCTCACTTCTTTTTATCTATAGAAATTTTCATCTATAAATAATTATTATTTTTTTTTCGCAAATCATATATAATATCACTAACTGCAATTGCGGATGTAAAAAGAAATTTTATCCTTATCAATGAGACATTTCATTTTTTTTTATCAAAATGAATAAAAATTGTGAATTATTTATTTTTTTAACTTTATTCACTTAGGGCAATTTTCTAAAAGAATTCTCAATTCTAAAAGAAATAAAAATTCTACAAGAATTATTCACGAATTAATTAACTAAAGAAGAAAATATTTTCTTTCCTCACGCAAGTGGATGAGAAATTGAAAATAATTAAATTTTTCCAAATAGAAAAATATTTTAATTTGAACATAAAGAACAAAAAAAGTTGAAAGTATATCCGTTTAGGAAAAATTATAATAAAAACAATAATAATATTAAATAATAATTTGTGTAACAATAAAAACATAATAAATAATAACAGACGTTTTTTGTTAACCGTCGAGTAATAAATTCTTTAATAATAAAAATGTTTATATAAAAAATAATAAAAATAATAATAATAATAATACGTAAATAATAATAAAAACCGAATTTAGCCCATTTTATTATAACGCAAAATAATATAGTTTACAAATATAAAAAGAAAATAAACAAAATGGAAATTTAATAATTGATTATCATAATTTATGAAAAGGAATTCTAATCGTACAAACTTTGTTTCAAGGGGAAGCATAAACTTTTTTTTTTTTTTTTTTACTCTAAATACATCAGAGAACTGTGGTATATAATAAAAAATTCGCCGTTTTATCCATAGGTTGCAAATCGATATTTCAATGACCCCAATAAACAAAGCGGGTTATGTAAAGATATTTTTCTGACCTTTCTACAATCAATGATGAGAGGGATTGTTTCAAGAACAAAAAAAAAGAATACTCCTTTTGGCTCGCCTTTTGGTCCACTATATTTCTACCACGCAAAAATTTACATACTTTTTCCCAAATAATACTAATTTTTCAAATGAATTTTTGCTGAATGATATTATTTTTTTGTGAATGTCTGGCATTATTCTTCTTTTATAATTTTAATTAAGTTCCATTTTAATTAAGTTCTTTTTTCTCGCCTATTATTAAATAAAGTTTCCTTCTCGCAAATGAGTTAATAAAAAGGGTTTTTTTTTTCATTTTTTTCTCAGGCTCGGTAGAGGACTCGGCTGGAAAGGTGGAGGGTCCAGGCTCGAGAGGAACTAAAGAGTCGGCGAACGACTCGAAAGAAGAAGAAGGGCCGGACGTAGCCTCCACTTTGAGTGGTTTGCTATCCGGACTTCCGACCCTCGCGGGTCCCCAACGCTTCGCCAATTCCCTCCGGCAAAAATTCGCCACCAATTCCGGTGAGTTTTTCTATTATTTTCTTGTTTCAAAAAAAAAAAAAAAAAGAAAGAAAATTTTACTAATTTTCAAATTTTTCTTCAACGCTCAAAAAATATTGTCAAAAAAAAGAATGAAAGAAAAAAAGAAAGAAAGAAGCTATACCAACTATGACACAATAATTATTAATTATTACCATTAATAATAATAATAATGTGGTTAATTAATAATTATATTAATTATTATTCTTGGACAATATTAAAATTTCTTTCCATAAATAAAAGTTTCCCTGTCTTATGAGAAAAATTTGTAATTATATAATTAATATGGCCATGTTTAATTAAAATCCCCCCCACCCCATCGGTACAAATAATTTTAGAACAAATAAAAAAACATCAATTTAATTAAAATTGGAAAATTTCGACTTTTCTACACTAGAAAAATAGTATTTGATTCAAATAACAGATTACTTGCCTGTTACCAAATATTTACTTGAATCAAATAATTTTTATTTTAATCAATTAAGTAAATGGTATTTGCTTTAAATATTAAAATTATTGGTTCAAATATTGAAATTATTGATTCAAATAAATAGTTACTTGATAATAATAGTCGATTATTATTTGAATCAAATACATTTTTTTCAGTGTAACATTTTTTAGTTAGTTTATATGAATAAAAGATTTTTTTTTAATTCGCAATTATAAATAAATAGAAGTTTATAAAAAATAATTTTAAAATGCATAAAAATAAAATCCGTAAATAATAAATAAATAAATATTTATTTATTATTATGAAATAAATAATTTTAAAAAGGAATGAAATGAAATGAAATTAAATTAAATTTTCACTATTGTGAAAATAGTCATTGAATACATTGAATAATTATATTATAAAAATTTCTTTATACAATTTTGATTGAGAATGACGCAATAAAATTTTACAGTGATGTAATATTACATATATATAATCGTGTCATATAATGATAAATTATGTCGCTGAAAATTTCTATATCAGTGAATTCATATTATTGATTTTTAAATGACAATAAGCATTGTTCTAAATTGATGCTTAATTATTATTGACTAGAATATTATTATTATTTTTTTTTTTTTGACAAAGAAGTTGATTATTTCTCTATATTATAATAGAATATAAATTTAAAAAATATAAAACATTAAATATGAGGTGAAATATAAAAATAAAAAATAACAATAGTACGAGAAAAAAATGTCAAGAAACTTTTACTATTTGTGTAGTAAAATTTACTTTTTAAATTTTCACTAGTGACAATTTTAACTAATTTCACATTATCTTTGAAATATTTAATAAATTGTTTTTAATAGTTTTTTTTTTTTTTTTTTTTAAGCAACTTTAATTTTTTTGGAGTAAATTTTACTAAACTGTTGTAACTTTCAGCTAAAATTTGATTTGGATATAGTAAAATTTACTTCAATTTTTCCAATTTTTTGCTTTCAACATAGTAAAATTTACTTCGAAGAAAGTGAAAATTGCTGCAGAAATTCTAAACATTTTAGGTTTTACTATACAAATAGTAAAAGTTATTAAATATTTCTTTTCGAATAATAATCTTTTTTTTCTAAAAAAAAACAACTGAAAAAACTAAAATAAATAAATTATTTACTGAAAATTAAATATGTATAAACACTTTTATAAAACAATGAAAATAGTCATTAAATTTTTTTAGAAATATTTTATTATTCGGAATAATAATTTGCTCTGACACAATTCTTCCGATAAATCCTCTTTCTTTGACAATTCATGCAAAGTCGCATAATATTTCTATACAATGCAATTCGAAATATTATTTAATTAAATGATATTTGAGATTAAATTTGCAATATTACTTAATTAAATAATTTTTAAAGTTAAATAATATTTCGAATTTAATTTTAAATATAAATTGAATCTAAATTATTTCAAAAAATACAAAAAAATGAAATATGAAACTATATTAAAAAATATACAATATCAAGAGAACTTTTTAATTCACCTAAATAAAAAAATAGCTAATTATTTATTATAATTCGAAACATCTCATTCGTTAACGGAATTAAAAATATCTAATATTAAAGAACGGAATTATATTACCCAATTAATAAACGAAATTACAAAATTATCAGCTAATTAGTTAATGCCATTAAAAATATAATTTTATTAATTAAAAAACAATCAGTTAATTAGTGGACTAAAAAAAATATTACCCAATTAATAAAGGGAACAAAAAATATTACTTTGAATATAAATTTTTTTTTCATATTTTCCACATGAGAGAATATATTGAGAATATATTTTCACTATATACAATCTAGAAATTTTTTTTTCAAATTCCATATTTTTAGAAATGATTAATTAACTCATGGCCATAAAAATCAATAATTATTTATGATCAATTTTACGAAACTCCATTACTTTATTATGAGTACACGGGGGGAGCCTTCACCCGGTGCTGCGGCCTTACAGGGGAAAAAAACACCTGAATTTCCTCCACAGAAGAACGAAAAAAAAAAAAAAAAAATGTCGAAAAAATATTACACTCGCAGTGATATGACATCGTGGGACGTTTTCGGCACCAAAAATTGCGCTGACCAGGCCGGGCTAGGGCTCCTCCAAAAAAAAAAAGTCTCTAAAAAATAAAATGAAAAATGGAGTAAACTTTGAAAAAAAATAAAAAAGAAATTTGAGCCTTTAATTTCATGGTAGCTAACCGAGTGACGGTGGTTTGTTGTAGGTTACCCCTGGCCCGGCCTGATGCGCGCTCCAGGAGCACGAGATGATATTGCTTAGCTAATCAAGAAAACACTTATCAAGGTCCTCTTGATTTTAATTATCAGAAAAGAAAAATCCCCCCCCAAAAAAGGAGAAAATCAGAGTATAAAGATGGATACGAATATTCCTTTGATAAACATCAGCATTAGGGAGCTGAAGGAGATGATCTTTGAGAAGCTCGAGGAACCAAAAGCTCAACGTAAATTGATCCTCGTGATTGTTTGCATAGCGCTACTTTTGGACAACATGCTCTATATGGTGATTGTGCCTATAATACCGGATTATTTAAAGTACATCGGTGCCTTTGGCGATGACAGTGATTACGCGAATTCAACAGTACCGGGCGAGCATCATGGACAGGATCAAGCAACAGGTGTACTATTCGCCTCGAAAGCAATAGTTCAATTGCTCGTGAATCCATTCTCAGGTGCACTAATCGACAAGATCGGCTACGATCTACCAATGTTGGTGGGACTGACAATTTTATTCCTCTCAACGGCACTCTTCACATGCGGACGTAGTTATGGTGTTCTGTTCTTTGCCCGGAGTCTTCAGGGTGTGGGTTCTGCATTCGCTGATACAGCGGGTCTTGCAATGATTGCCGATCGTTTCACTGAGGAGGCGGAGAGAACGAAAGCACTTGGCATTGCGTTGGCATTCATAAGTTTTGGCTGTTTGGTTGCACCGCCATTTGGGGGTTCGTTGTATCAGTTCGCTGGCAAGGAGGTGCCGTTCTTGATACTTGCTTTTGTGAGTCTCGCCGATGGAATGATGTTATTGCTGGTGATGAAGCCGATTAAGGAGCAGATTACCCAGAGTCAGAGGGATAAACCGCCGAGTATTCCAATTTGGAAACTGCTTTTGGATCCTTATATTGCGGTGTGCGCTGGTGCTTTGATGATGTCGAATGTTGCTCTGGCTTTTCTTGAACCCACGATTTCGCTGTGGATGACGGATCATATTACGCATGATAATTGGAAGATGGGAATGATTTGGTTGCCTGCTTTTGTGCCGCACGTGTTGGGAGTGATAATAACGGTGAAAATGGCGAAAAAGTACCCGCAGCATCAGTGGTTGATGGCGGCTGGTGGTTTGGCTTTGGAGGGTCTTTGCTGCTTTTTGATTCCCTTCTCGACATCGTACAAAATGCTTATGATTCCGTTGTGCGGTATTTGTTTTGGAATTGCACTCATTGACACGGCTTTGCTGCCGACGCTCGGCTATCTGGTGGACGTGAGATATGTCTCGGTTTATGGGAGTATTTATGCGATTGCTGATATTTCGTACAGCGTTGCCTATGCAGTGGGACCGATTATTGCCGGCGGTGTGGTGGAGGCTATTGGATTCACGGCACTTAATTTCCTGATTGCCTTCAGTAATCTTCTGTATGCGCCGGTGCTGTACAATTTGAAGCACATCTATGACTTCAAGCCATTTCAGGACGAGGCGAATGTTCTCATGCAGGACCCACCTGACAAGGAGTATCAGACTTATGCTCTGCAGGAGCAGAGGCCAATAACGGGCGAAGTGGGCAATCATTTGACGCAGGGACGAATGGAGACGAACATCGATCAGGATCCAAATTATCAGAGTACACAGTACAATCAAACTGGTTACACTCAGGATTATCAACAACAATCTGGTGGTTACAATCAAGCCGGACAGAGTTATTCCTACGAGCAGCAACCATCCGGTTATGAAGAGTCTGCCACGTATGGAGGACAGAGAAATTACAGTCAACAGGAATCACATCAAAGGGGACAACAACAGCAACAACAACCGGAGGTGAATCCATTTAGGAAAGCACAGGAACAGGATTCCAGGCCATCTGGTGATAGTAATCCATTCAGAGCCGGAATGTTCCAGTAAATTAACCATTAGTGATGAGTCTTCTAATAGACCACTTTTCCGACTGTTACCAAAAAAATATTCGCTACAGGACCAAATCGAGGTCCTAGACTAGTCTTCAAGGCAGGCTTCCAAAAAAAATCGTTCACAAAAAAACGCTATCGCGATTTCCGTGAAACACAAGTGCGCGATTTCTGGTTTCACTTGAAAACTTAATGTTTTCGCTTGCAAAAATCTTTTTTTTATTTGCCTATTAATAATCGTGTGTCGTGAATTTGTGATGTGCATGGAAAAAAAGGAGTCGATGAGAATAGAAGGTTGTGACGATGAAGACATCAAGGATTATTGTGATTTATTAACAATAGTGTTTTTGCGAGTGCGAGTTTAGGTGATAATTATAATAATAAAGAAAATATTAATAAAAATAATATTAATATTAATAATAATAATATTAATAATAAAAATAATGATAAAAATAATAATAATAGTAAATAAATAAAATAATAAACATCGGGATCGAGAAGAAGAGCCGATCCGGAACAAAAATGAATTCAACAAATTATCAAGAATTCCGAAAAAAGTGGAAATTAGATTTTTGTTCGGGACTATTTTTTCCCCCCTTAAGGAGTGCAAAGTAAAAAATTCGGAAAAGAGGAAAAGTGGTATGAATTTAAAGTGTAAAAATTTAAAAATGAGTCGAATTATAAAAAAATTTGAATGAAAAAGAATTTTTTAAATTGAGTCAAATTATAAAATTACTAACAAAACGGAAAGAATAAAATTTCTCCATTCAAAGTGTAAAAAATGAATCGAGTTATAAAATTTGTATGAAACATAATTTTTTTAAATTGAGTCAAACTAAAATTAACAAAGCAACAGACAAAAATTTTTAAATTGAGTCAAATTATAAAATTACTAAAAGAACGACAAAAAAATTAAAAATCAAGTCATAAAATGAATGAAACTAGAGAAATAAAAATTTTATAAATTGAGTCAAATTATAAAATTAATAAAACAGAAAGAGTAAAAACGAAAAATTTCAAAAAGCGTAAAAATTAAAAGTCTCTCTTTCTGAATAAAGTAAATTATAGTCCAAAAAGAATTTTTTTTGTTAAAGAATGAAGAAATTTGAGAAGAAAAAAAGCGAAATACAAAAAAAAGAAGCAAAATAGAAAAAGGCGACAACTTTTTTCCCCTAAGAGAAACAAAATTAAATCTGTCAAGAAAAAAAGAATGTAAAAGTTCAAAAAAGTGAAAAAAAAATTCTCTAATTGAATAACGGTGCTGACCAAAAACAAAAAAAGTACGCTTTGTTAAAAACCAAAAAATAAAATCGTGAGGCGAGAAAAAGTTTGTGGCGATTGCAAAACAGAGGCAATTATAGAGGATCAGATATATAAATATAAATAATAAACAAATTATAAATAATGAAAAAATATAAATAACTGAAAAAAAGTATATATATAATAGATAATATATAATATGTAATATATATAATTTATACCGCGATATAATAAAAATATATAATATATTATATATTATAATAAAATAATATAAATTACTAGAAAAACGTGAAACGAATGGCTCCCAATCAGCAAGGGAACCCTCGTGCGTAATAGTAAATTTTCGTTTCTTTATGAATTTTTATTTTCATCGATTCGTTGCTGAACCAAGATAACATATCATCAGGATTCCTCATCAGGAATCCTAAAAATCTAGTTTTTAAGTCGTTATATTTAGAGATAAGGAGAAAAGCGATCGCGACAGTGATAGTCATTGACATTTTTGAACTGATAGCAAAAAAAGAAAAAAAAATTTATTCTGAATTTTTATTGGGAAAGTAAATTCTTTGATTTAAAATAAAAAGTATTTTTTACTCTCTAAATATATAAGAATCCAAAGTTTTGCTAGTTTTCATTTTAATTAATTTATTTAATTTAATTTTTTGTTTCATACTTTCTACTAATTATTCAAATTAACAAAAAAAATCACCAAATTTTTATGGTACAATTTTAGTGAATTTTTGTAAATTATAGTTAAACTATAAAAATAAATAACAAAAAAAAAGAACAAAAATTAAAAAATACAAAAAGGATAAGTAGAAATGTCTTTTTTCTGAATAAAATAAATTTCTTTTGCTAACATATTAAATATTTTTTTATTTAATTTCCTTTACTAACTATTTTGCTAATAAAATAATTTTGCAAAATTTATCATAAAAATTTTCAAACGAAAATGGTAATTTTACAGAAATTTATTTATTTATTTATTTTCCGTATAGAAAAAACCTGAATAAAAGATTTTATTTCCTATTCTCGTATTCTTTGCTTTTGAAAAAAAGAGAAAAAAGAAATAAATTCAGGTCAAATATCGAGCATACTTATTATTTAAATCAAAGAAAATATATTTTCTTTTCAAAATAAAAAAAAATTCTCAAATTAAAAAAAATTCACGAATTAAGAAAAATTCTCAAATCAACAGGAATTATTAAATATAAATGAATAATGAAAAATTAAAAAAAAAGAAAAAAATTCTTCCATTAAATAAGAGAAGGAATAATTTTTTTCTAAAACAATAATTCTAATTGGATGATGATTGTAAATCGGGCATTAATATATGAATATACAAATATCGTCGTGATTGATTATACATATAAATAATTAATAAATTATAATCGCGATAATTTAGAATATCTTAAAAAGGGGGAAAATCACCCGAGAGGAACATATCTGTATTTTTGTGAATATTCTTTTCTAAAAAAAAAAACATATGAAACTAAAATCTAGTAATTTTCATTTTATTCTCCGTCTCGTTTAAATTTTTCATTTAATCGAATTCAAAGAAAAAAAAAGGTGCGCAATATTTTTAGAATCTTTTAGGCGTATATTTAAATGTTAAACTATATATATTATAATATTTCTTATTGAGACTAGGACGTAATATTATTGAACTTTTGCAAATTTATTCAATAAGGAAAAGAAAAAAAAATGAGAGAGAGAAATTCGAAGATAATTTTTTAAAACTATTTCGTAAAAGTCGAAAGATTATTTATAAATTAAATTAAAAAATATATTTTATCTTCATTAAAATTATTCTACTTTTTAGATTTTCGATTTCTTTTTGAGGAATTTAAGTTTTAATACAAAAAAAATATTTAGCACTACGGCCTATGTAATTAAATAAAATTTTGTACGCGATTTTCGAAACGTAATTTTTAGTTTTAAAAGTTTTTTTTGTTCGTTTTATTATTAATTTTTATCAACATTTGATTTATTTATTTCATTCTAATAATAAAATTGAGAAAATAATTTTCTTTTGTACATTTCTGAAAAACGTAAATAATTATCATTGGAAAAAATTATTATTAATTATGATAATGAATAAATAAACAAATGTAAAATAAAAATATATATGTTGAAATGTAAGTTAATTCGTTAAAAGTTTCTTTTGCAAAAGTCATATTGTTACGAGTCGGTCAACAATGCGAACTATTAATATTCCTACCTTCTATAGTCAATAAACTAAGGCGCCACAAAAATAAAACGACATTTCGCACGTTAATCAAGTAACAAAAGATATAATTTTTATTTAAAAAAAAAAGAAATAGTTTTCGGTATTTCTGACTTAAAAAATTCTCTCTAGATTATATTCCAATAATTTTTCAAATTTATGAAAATGCAGAAAAAAAATTAATTATTCATTCAACTAAATATTTTATACGGATAGTAGAAATTTTAATTCAGAATTAATATTAATTTATTATTTCAAATTAATCGAAATATCATTAATTTATTATTTCAAATTAATGGAAATAATTTTAATAAATTATTTCAAATTAATAGAAGTAATAATAATTATTTCGAAATAATAGAATTACTATTAATTATATTAATAATTGAAAATTCATTTCAACAAAGAATTGTTTTTTTAAAAAAACAAAAAAGAATTTTTCAACACAATATTATAAAGGAAAAATGTCAAGTTAAAACCAAAGAAACTCTCTGTTTTTTAAAAAAAATTACACTAATTAAATTCCTTTAAAAAATTTCGCTTTTTAATTAAAACTTGTTAATTACATTTCAGTTAATTTAGATTCACTTTAGTTTTTAACTTTTACAGTTAATTAAAATTTGTCTAATAATAAATTTAAAAATGTTCCTTTTCAATTTATTTTCTTTCTTTCCTTTTCTATTTTTTTCTTATTCATAATTTTTTAATTTTTTTTTCTATTTTTACTATTTTTTCTATTTTTTGTACTAAATTACTTAAAGATTTTTACTAAATTTACTAAATAACAAAAATAAAAAAAATTACAAAATTAAAGAAAATTGAAAAAAAAAATTTGAAAAAAAGTCAAAAACAAAAATTTTACTAAAGTACAAGAATTTTTACGAATTAAAATTTCAATAAGAAAAAATTTTCTTTCTTAAAAATTAGAGAGTATTTCGATGTAATAAGTATTTTAAAAAAATATCGTGTTGAACGCGTTCAGTTTACAGTGCCTGACTTTAAAGAGTTCTTATCAGCTATATACTCTATGAATAATTTGCTAAATTAAAAAAAAAATTTCTCCCTAAAAATCTATATATAGATTAATTAAGAAACAAAATTAGCTTCGCGCATAACGAGCGAATTTTTTTTTTTTGCGCGCTCATAGATTGATTTATATATATATATATATACAATATTAGGGAAAGAATGAAAAATGTGTGAGTAATTTGTCGTTTCGTGAGTTTCACGATTCCAATGAGCTGGCCTCCATATTAAGGGATAGTAAAAAAAAAGAGAAAAAAAAATATATATATTATAATACCGAAAACTTTGACTCCACGTAACAGTCTGTAGATATTTTTATCTCCCATATTATCAGTGTATTAATTCTAATATCTTAGTCACCACAAAAAACAAAAGAGAGTAAAACAAGAAAATTGAAATTCGATCGTAAAAACAAACATTCGGAAAAAAGTAAACAAAAAAGTAAGTTTTTAGCGAATTTTTTTTTTATTATTATTAAATCTTTTTTTTTATACGATAACGAGAGAATTTCTTTTTCAAAATTTCTAAGAGGATTTTATTTTTGAAATAGTAAAATATTTACTTCAAAATGTGTAGTGAAATATTTGATACAAAAAAAAAATTTTTTGCTACAATTAAATTAGTAACATATTTACTATGAAAAATGTAGTAAAATATTTACTACAAAAGAAATTCGACAAAATATTAAAATTTTTAAATTCAGTAAAGAATTTACTACAAAGAATTAAGTAAAATATTTGCTACAGAGAATTAAGTTAAACATTTACTAAAAAAAATGTAGTGAAATATTTCATTAAAAAAATTATTAAAAGTATTTACTACAAAAATATAGTAATTTATTTGCTATAAAAAAATCAGTTAAATATTTCATATAAAAAAATCAGTTAAATATTTCATATAAAAAAAGTAAATTATTTTATACAAAAACGTAGTAAAATATTTACTGTTTAAAATGTAAAATATTTACTGTGGAAAATAAGGTAAAATATTCACTACAAAAAATTAAGTAAAATATTTACTACAAAAGAAATGTAGTAAAATTTTTGCAACTAAAGTATAGTAAAAGTTTACTAAAAATATTGTAGTAAAAAATTTACAATAAAAGGGTATAGCAAAATATTTACTACAAAAAATTAAGTGAATTATTTACTACAAAATAAATGTATTAAAATGTTTGCTGCGAAAATATAGTGAAAGTTTACTAAAAAAAAAAACTTGTAGTAAAATATTTACAGTAAAAAATATAGTAAAATATTTACAACAAATAAGTAAGTGAATTACTTACTACAAAAAAGTACTAAAATTTTGTTCTACAAAAATGTAGTAAAATATTTACTTGAAAAAATTGTAGTAAAATATTTACTGCAAAAGAAATGTATCAAAATTTTTACTACAAAAATAAAGAGTAAAAATTTACTGAAAAAAATTGTAGTAAAATGTTTACAATAAGAAATCTAGTA